GGGACTTCAGCAAAACCTAAGTTCAGTAAGTTTCGTGTTTGCACTTCCTGGCTGTTAAGCTGCTAGCCAGGTTGCTGTTAGCAAGCTAATATTCGTTACCGACACTCACGCGAACGCGAACTGGCTAGCAAAATAAAAAATAACTTTAACAACTGAAAATGTCTGACGTTGCAATTGTGAGTCTGTAAAAGTAAAATGATGACACCTTAGGAAAAGGACAGGAGAACAACACCAAAAACTACCATACTCACTGATTATGAACTGTGCAACAGCGAGGTCGAAACTCCAAAGATGAGTAGTAGATATCTGCTGGCGGTAGAAGCGCACGTAAGAATCTGATTGGTGGGAAGGTGTGTCTCTCAATAAGTCCGGGCTGCCATTGGGTGACGGGTTTAGTTTTATTCTGAAAGCGCTTCCGCTGCACTAGAGTGACGGGGCGTAGCGCGAACGAGTGTTTTGTAACGAGCGCCTTTAGCTTGTCGAAAACCGAAACCAAGTTTCTGTTTTCTATATCTAAATCGGACACTAAAAATACCCTAAAAATAAATGCTTAAAAAAAGACGGCCTTAACCTCTCGTTGTATTGCTCACAGTAAACGCAGTGAGTGAATAGTGACAACTTATAGAACTTATTTCTAAGTTAAAAGTTTAATATATGAGAGTAAAAATGTCGTAAACTGCGCAGAATCGATGTCTCACAACCCGACATAAGTGAGCAGCAAAGGAGAACAACAAGTACGCAAAATAAGGCGCTGCTCTTGTTTTTCATGTCTTCTCTAACACCGAACCTGTGTTTGCTTTACCTTCACAGTTCATGTGACTGCTGCACGTCAAATTATGGAAATTGGAAATTCTTGGTGTCACTAACCGGCTTAGATAATAACCACTGGGTCAGTCTGAAACTTGTGTTATAATACTCAATGAAACTTCCTTCAAATTTAAAGCTGAATATTTTTTTTCTCCTTAGCTAAGTATCATTAACTCACATCATTATCTCTTATCAGTAGCAAGTATTTGAAGGGCATGTTGATAACATCTTAAAATCTAAATAATAACAACATTAAGATCATATGATCTTGTGTAATTTAGCTTTTTTTTTTTTAACACAGTATATAAAATTATAGAATTATTCAAATTGCCATCTGTGTACAAAAAGCAATTACTAATGTAGCTAGATCTTTTTACATGAGGTTGCAGTGCATTATTAAACATTACTTATTTAGCATCAGCATTAGATTATTAGAATGACATATTCTTATGAGTGAAACTAAGACTGTTTTTCATCATTGAACCACTGCTTTACTTTTGCTAAAATGCCCCTTAAAAACTTACAACTTAAGACATTTATTTAGCAGTTAGTCTGCAAATGTGACATAACAGTAAACTTCCAGTAGAGGGAGACGCAGACAGAAAAACGCAAAGGAGTTGACTCATCATTACTTAGGGTAACTAATCAGGTGACACCCCAGTTTTGATAAAATCACTTCTTTATCTAACAAGGAGGAAACCTGCTGAGGGCAAGCTGTTGTGAATGTGTGTCTCAAGCCATAAAACCTTTTTATGTAAGATGTCATGCACAGTAGCACCAGTTGCCTTGAAGAAATAGGCTGATGGTAAATAAAAGGATGTTATACTACTGGCCATATATATCAATATATTTTTCCCAGTGTGTGAGTACTGCATGAATTTCCTTTTGTTTTACCTTTACTTATGTAGCCTACATTGTTATCATCTACTCATACTAATGTTTGAGGTGCATTTATATTTATCACTCTTTAACATCTACACATTATAATGTCCCCCAACAGAATGTTACAAAAGAGCCAATGTCCAGTCTCAAATCCTGGATTATACTGGACACTAATTTGGCGAAACTCTGGGTATAATATACTAATATCCTTACCTGCTGAATAAAGTCTTTCATTTTCCCCCCCAAAAAAATCCTTTTTGTATCCACCATCAGATTTATGTATGTACGTAAAGTCAAACTCTGCAAACACAACCATGAAAGGATGTTTCTCCACCACCCTGTCTCTAAAAGCTTGTGACTTCTATCAGTTTTAATGCAGAAGCTGCTGTCTATCAAAGAAAGCAGCCATATTCTTGTATTATAGTACATTTCTCTCTTCTTGGTTTATTTCAAGCACTTTTAATCACACATGTGTCTCTTTTTGCTTTGAAATTTGATCAGCTGCGTTTTCATTTATAGCGATCTGCACTCATCCTTAAGATGGGCTGACCCGGTCACTAAAGAGGTGATGACTCACCATTTGTACGGGCAAATAGAAACTATGTTGCTGTAAATACCCCGCTGAATCACTACTGTGTAAAAGTACACGTTTTAAAGAGACATTTGATTAGATAGAGGGTGGGGTCTCATATCTGTATTAGACATTTAAAGTATTTTACTTTAATTATTCCATATCACAATAAGTCCACCTTAACATGCTTTATATTGTAAAATAAAAAACTTAAAATATTACAGCAGACCACCCACTATGAGCAAGCACTTGGTGACAGTGGGGAGAAAAAACAAAAAACAAACTTTTTAACAGGAAGACGCCTGCAGGAGAAGACCAGGCTCAGAGAGGGTTGACTATCTGCCATGAACGGTTGGTAGAGTTGAACAAAGGTCTTAAATCCCTTTAAAAATCTGTTCTTTCAGGTGCAAAAATGGTTCTTTGAAAGATTTTCCTCACATCTAATTAAACCTCACTATGCTCATTTACTGAAAAATTTTTAATGAAAAAGAGGGTAGGAGGGGGGTGTGTGAGATAATGGCCAACCAAATACTGGAAATAACAGACGATGCTTCTTTAAATTCAAAATAGGCTTGCTTAAAATAGCCTGGGACAAATTTAACACTGCAGTAGGAACAGTTATATCATCCATAATTTTTCTTTTTACAACTCAGAAGACACCATTGTGATCGTCCCCTAATTATTACACTGAAGTACACTCGCATCAACATAACATCCTAATCTAATGTGGTTTGTTTCGTATATGTTAAAAAGAAAAAAAAATGTATACCAAACAATGAAAAGTCCTTTATTGCCATCAGAACATGAGTGAGAAAACCAGAGACAAAATCTGACAGAGTGAGGAGTCGACTGTACAACCAGCATCCACGCAGACGCACGTGCGCGCACGCACACACACACGCAGCAGTCTTTCAACAGGACGCGAGGGATACAGATACATTAGGGAATACAGTACTCACACAATGAGGTATAAAGGTAAACACAAACATACCACGCAAGGCTTCATCCTCCACTCGCACACATGCAACTGAACCAAGGTACAAATACTCAAGTGTTCGATCATCCTCTAAAAACACAACATACAGGTGAGCAGAAATGTAAAACAGCAGCATCTGGGTCATCTTGAGTCAACCACACTCCCATTCGTCTGTCTCTCAAAACCTTTGGTCATGTGGATGCTTGCTTGTCATGCACAATGTCGCCCTTTGTAATTTCACAATTTAACACTTTTGAAACTCTGAAAACTTGTAAGTAAAAGGAACCGGTCCCTTCCTGACTCGTACCCGCCAACAGAGTGTGTGTGGGGGGTTGGGGGTCTGGGCAGATATATAAGTATTGGAGGGGGAGAGAGAAAAAAAACAGAAAAATCAGTCACAAATAGTTCTTTTTCCTCTCTTCATGGTAGAGTTTCTACGTTAGTTGGACATTCAGTGTGTACATTAGCAGCAATTCTAGTGAATGAAACAATGGCTTTGTAAGTCAGATTAACAACACCCCTTTTTTCCTCATGCACAGGACAGGCACCACCTACTACTCGAATGGCCATGCAAGTTAGAAAAATAGACTGCAAACTCACAAGACAAGAGAAATCAAAGTTCATCTCCACAGAAGAGGTTGATTTCACTTCAGTTTTTTATTTCATATTTTCTACGATGTGGAAAGAGCAACAAAAAGAACTTGAGAGCGACAACCAAGACAACAGTAACAACATGAGCAGAGAGCCGCTGAGGTTTTCGAGTCCGTCTCTTACTCCGTATGCCGAAAACAAAGAAAACAAATAAAAAATTACCCCAAACCGCCAGGTACAAAAGACGGACAACCTCGCTCGCTCAGAGTTTTTGGGTCCTCTACTTTTGCACTACGCGGGCAACCACGCCGACCTGGTGTGTGTGTGTACCTGTAAATGTGGGCCTGTGTGTCGTGTGGCTCTCATGTCATTTTAAGCTGTCCCGTTCCCACAGTCTGCAGTCTCCAGGCTCTCCCCACCCCTTCCCACGTCACTAGCAGCACCCGTCCCAGAAAAGGTGGTCGCGCTCCCTCCCCCCTTTCGTGTGCGTCTGGAGCTGTGCACTGCAGTGGTTTTAATCAAGACACTAAGTGTGGCTGGAAGCTAGCGCCGCCGCCCCTCTGACACAGAAAGAGGCACGGTGTAGTTCTCTCTAAGTCGAAATCTTAACAGTTCAAGTGTGCGGTCGGTCTGGTCTCAGCCCATCCTGTTTGCGGGGCTGCACCGGGGTGCCGGCCCTGGAACAATTCCAAGGACCTGAAACAGGCGAGAGGAGGAAGAGACGCATGCCGTGACAACGCCCCTCGGGGCTACGTTAGGTTTTCCCCACGTCATCCGCTCTCAGTTTAAAATTTTTGTTGTTGCCAAATGTCTCAACTGTTCACACACAGACAGACACACGCGCCGACCCCGCTCCTCTTCCATTCCCCCACACTTACCTCCCCTAACGCCGTCCGTTCTACGCGGAATGAGAACAAGCGCCTTGAATTTCGCGTTTGGCACCAGATTGAATTTTCCTCACATCGGCCACCCACGCCATCTGTTTCTGCATCCTCTTTTTTTGTTTTTGTTTTTCCTCATCACTCCCTCACAGATCTGTTCTCTCCTTCAAACCAAAAACAGAAAAAAAAAAAAAAACCTGGAAGAAGAACTCATTTTCTTCCCCTCAAAAACAAACTTAATGGAAAAAAAAAAAAAAACTCAAGTTTTTTTTGTTTTTTTGTTTTATGTGTTTATATATATATATATTTGTTTTTCAAATTCAAGGCACAATGTCTATCTGTATTCCAATCCGTCTTCACTCCCAGGTTCAGTGTGCGAACATGGCGTCACATGAGCCGGACTGTCTGCTCATACAGCTTTACATCTCTCCTGTGTGCACTTTAAACACCGTTATAAAGAGATGCGTCTGTTTTGGTTGAGAGAGCGACCGCCGAGTCGAAACCAGTGATAAACAATGAACAAAATTAACATTAACAGAAATAAAGACAAACAGTTCAAAACAAAAAACAAACAACAACAACAACAACAAAAAAAAAAAAAACGTCTCGTCCTGTTTCTCGTGTTTCAGTATTTTTAAAAATCAAGTCATATCCACCAGCTCTTTTTTGGCAAGCTAGTTGTTTTTTCCTCTTTTTTTTCTTTTAAATAAGCACTAAGTACTGATAGATAGGGTAGCATACACCGTTAACGTGTGGTTTTAAGTAGATGCGTTTGTCGTTTTTTTGTACTTTTTCACTCTCGTAGTATGAACTCAGGTATTTTGTCAGGTACTTTTTCACTCATCTGTTTAAGGTTTAAGTTAATGCAAGCAGGGACAGAGTTTGCCATGGAGTCTTGCTCTAGACTTGGGTTCGCAAGGGTTCGCTCGTCTCTTTATGAGACCCCGTTGACCAAGGTCAGGGTCTCGCTGGGCGAGGTCAATCCTTTGCTGGGGGAACGCTTCGAGGGCGTTCGCTCTTCCTTCTTGGCGGTGGTGCCGTTCTCCTGTGGGTGCAAAACGTAGATCAAAGTGAGAATTGTCACTGAGCTAAAGCTGAGATCACTGCCTTGTTTACCACAGAATTAGATCATTTTTCTGCAAGCAGGAGGGGAACACGGTGTAACTATGCTTTTTAAGTACATAATAGCTGCCCTCACCCTGAGTGCTTCATCTCATGAACAAGCTAAAACTGCAGTAGCCCTTGTTCTGCTCTGCTGCCTTGGTGAACGTAGCGTTAAGAAAGAAAGGTGATAACCAATGCTGTGAGAGATTATCTCTGAGGGGCGTTTTAGTTTCTGTCATGGCAGCAAAAGCAAAGATAGCCTGGCTAAGTTCAGCCTGCTCTGTGAGAGGAACTGTCCCCTGGTGAATCAATCACCTCATTCACTTAGAATGAACGCAAATGACAAAATGAACTTCAAAATGTAGCCAATATATAACCGAAACATCGGGGGTGGGGGGGATAGTGTCTGTGCATATGTCAGCTTGTACCTTGGGCTCAGGGGCAGCGTGGTTTTCCTTCTGGGGCAGGTTCTGTCTGCTCTGGGACTCGGCGCGGGATATGTAGTCAGCAACAGTCACTGGAAACATTGAAGTCTGTTAGCTAGAACAGCAGCTGGGGTGTGTTCATTCTGAAAGTGGAAAGTAAAATAGCTAAACTAGTAAAAGGACAGCAACTCACCACTTTCTGGCTGTCTGTCACGGCTGGTTGAACCTCCCTCTGGGCGGTTGCCACGGTTACGGCGGCGGCGGCTTCGGTTGCGGCGCTGAGGCCGGGCTTCTTCATCTAACAGTCAAATTAGAAAATGTAGATCATCTCCCTCCAAAAGTTTCGGATTTCTGCTCGACTAACCACGAACGCACGGCAACAAGTTTCAACAAGGAGAACGCACCACCGCAACTCTCACCTAGTCCGTTCTCACTCGGGCCGGCCTGGCTGTCCGACTCTGCAGCTGCGTCCATGACACTGGGCTCCTGGTCGTTCCGGCGGCGGCGGGATCGTCTGCGGCGGTCTCCCATGCCTTCGCTGATGTCTGCGTCAGCCAGCTCTCCTTCACCCTCCAGCAGGGAGTATGGATTACTGTCTGGGTCCTTCAGTACTGTTCAGGTGACAAAACAATAGTTTAACACTTGTGTATCATTTCTTCCATTTAATGAGTGCAGTTTTAACATAACGACCTGCAGTAAACCTTTTCTGACTGAAGGATGAAGCTTAGAGGTTTTTCAGGTTTTTCCTCTTCACTTCATTAAGAGGACCACACCTTTCAGGCTCAATTACAAAAAACTGCTTGCCCGCTGCTTCTCGGAAAATCTTCAGTAGCTGCTTGCACCAAAAATACATTTGGTTTCTTAATCTTAAAGTTCTTATATAGACTGTTACTAAGGTGGATGTTCATGTTAAACTTAGCAGTCATAAATAAAGAAGTCAGCTCAAGTAAGCTGCAAGCTCGGGCAAGCTCAGGCTTCAGACAGCTGTAAAGAGAAGAAAATTGTTTCTCCCATTCTTTGTTATGATCTTTTGGGAGAAAAGAGATGCCATATGTGTCATTAGGTACAAAGAGGGTTACCTGAGCTGATTGAGTTCGAAGGCTTGGATCCTGGCCCTCCGCGACCTCGTCCTGAGTTGGATCCTCGGCCCCTACCACCCCGTCGGGATCCCCTCTCATCGTTGCCTATTCCACGGGGCCTCTGGTCTCGCTCGGTGAGGTCCTCTGGCTCAGAGGCATTGGACAGCTCAGAGTTTGTGCCTGCATTAGGTAGACAATCAAATAAAAAATTATTTTTATTTCATGACTGAATCTTATGTTGTACTATTACTGTATTGTATTATTACAACCGCACGTTAAAGTCAAATTTGAACTCTGTAACTCTCACCATATCCGGAGTACTGACTGTTGGAGGCCCTTCGCCCTCTGCCGCGGCCCCCGTAGGTTCGAGTGTGGAGTGAATTGGTGCTTTCATCTGTCAGGTAGCCTTTCTCTCGATCAACACCAGGGCCCCCGGTTCGGCCGGTAGGCGCGCGGTACCCAACCCCGATCTGACGGAGCTGCTCGTCAATCTGCAGGCGCTCAAGGCGCAGCTGCTCCACCTCCTACAGGTCGGGGACAAATCGCATTTAAGAGCCTGTTCCGCGAACAGAAAGGACTCAAGAGTCCACTCACACAAGATTATTCTGTTGGGCCTAGAGCTCCCATCCGTTGTGGGCCTTGCTTTGCTTTGGTTCTCTTAATAAGCCTACTGCTCACCACTAGGTGGCAGCAATTGGTGAAGTTCAACCTGAGCATTCTCACAGAACACCCACTTGTGTTCACCTAGTGATTTTTAACAGATGGACCGGCTGACTGCGATAAACATTAATTCATAGTCGAGGGTTGAACAAGCAGCTGTATCTGTCACACAGACACAGGCATGCCTGCCATCAATTACAGTCTCTTTTTTTTAAGCAAACTGCTGCCTTTACACTTTTAGAAATGCACCCCCCCCCCCCTTTACTAAATCTCTAAAGGATAACAAAGAGCTCCACAGTCTGCTTGCTCACATGTTCTCAGTCAGTTCAAGTCACAGATGCTGAGTGGTTCTGCAGAGATTGTCCAGTTGGTTGGATCTCTGTATCATCTTGCTGGAGAGGATACCACATAAGCAACAGCCAATAAACCGATAACCTCTCCCACAGCCCTCTAATAAAACAACTTGACAGCAGGGATAAACTTAAAGGTATCAGTTTATCAAATTTGATGACATCTTCAATAAATTAAAAGCTTTTTTTTTTTTTTTTTTTTTTAAATAGTAGATGAGTGGGCAGTGGTGACTAATGGCAGTTTAGAAGTGGGTGATCTAGAGGAGGATTTAGTGGGGAGAAAGGTCTCAGTTCACGGTGTGACAGCTGTCTCCACCAATGACAGCTGAACCTCAAGGGAAGTGTGAAGGAAGGGAGGGGCGACAGGAGGGGGTCTGATGTTATTTTTGAACACTGAGGGTCCAGATAGCTGGTAATCTATACTCAGGCATACTCTCCACCCCATCCCGTAGAGAGGAGCTATTTATAAAAGCACATGAGGTAAGGGCAAAATAAGGAGCTCTCAGCAGCTTTCCTCATGTGGAGCTGGAAAGTCGAGAGACAGGTGACCGATACACACCTACTCCACGTTCCCAAAGAAGAAGAAATAATTGTTGTGGGATGAACACATGTATTCAAATAAAGTCGAGGTGGCAGAGACAGAAAATACACTGTTTTTATCTTTTTCTGTCACAAAAAAAAGACAAAAAACAAAAAGCAGTGGTGCCATCTACTGGTAAAAATGGAAGACTGACAAACCTGGAGATAGGACACGTGGTACTCCAACAGAGCCTGAGCGTTGCTGATGTTCTCCTTGGTTCCCACAAACACAAAGGGAACCATGCCCTGAAACAACAGCAGAGAGTGGGGGAGGAATTAAAAGCTGAAGGTCTTTTTTTTTTTTTTTTTTTTTTAAAGAAAGGAAACAGATAATCATCAGTTTAAACAATGAGCAACTATATACTTAAATTGCACACTCAACAGGAGCATACCAACCCATCAGACCACAGTTGGCTAACCAGCCCAGTATAACATATATGCTGTGCAGTGGGCTGTGTGTGGAAAGCAAAGCAAACTCTGTGACAAAACAAGATACAAAGCAGCAGCAGAACGAACAGAGTCAAAGCAGACAGCACATGGGACGCTTGCACGCTGCTGCAGTTAAGTAGCTTTTCTGATTGGAGAGACGAGGGAAGATGGATGGTGGAGGGGGAGGGTTGGGGAGGTTATAGGAGGGTCTGGGAGAGCAGCCGATCGGTCCATTCACCTCTTTGCTGCTGGCAGTGTCGTCCCTGCCAGCCCCCTGCCTGCCTACCTCCTCGCGGGGAAGCTTTTTGTCGTTGTCTCCCTCGATCCTGACACGGACCACGCCCGACTTGTCCACAATCTCCTGGATGACTTTGCCGTTTTTGCCGATGACTTTGCCTGCGCAACGGGGAAAGCGGAAAGGGTGTAAAGAATGTTCCAATCAGGAATATGGTGTGGTGATGAAGCAGAATGTCAGCAGCAAAATGAACTCAGGAATGTTATGTTGTTCACTCACCTACAAGGTTCCTGGGTACCTGAAAGTAGTCTTCCTTGAACTCGAGATACTCTCTGGCCTGCTTCACTGCCTCTGGGGTCTGTAACAACACAAACAATGCAGTGTACGGCAAATAAGAACCAAAATGAAAGTATGCACAGCAAAAAGTTTTTATTCCGTTTCAGTGCATTATTCTGCACTAAAAAAAGAACCGTGGCCCTTATGAAGTTTCAATTTTATTTATACAGCACTAAATCCCATCAACAGGTGTCTCTACCTTACAGTAATACAGAGAAAAATCCCACGAATCAAATGACTCCTTTTCAACAACCACTTGGCAACAGTGGGAAGGAAAAACTCCCTTTTAACAGGAAGAACCCTCCTACAGAACCAGGCTCAGAGAGGTGCAGCATTCTACTGTGACCGGTTGAATGTCGGGGGGAAGACGGACACACTGTGGAAGCAGTGCTGCTCTAGCCAGGACTCTGACAGCTTTGCTCAGACTCGGATGTTTGCAGTACTTCTGCATTTATCCGTTCGTTGTAAGCTAGCGAGTTCTCATTAACTTCTGCCTGCTGTGCTGCCCTCTCTCATTCAATAACAGCCACATGCACAAGTCTAGTGACCAAATATACAATCTAAAAAGTTAGTGCTTAATGCAACTCTCACATTAATTAGATAAAGTAATTAAAATCTGTTTCATTATTATTATGCATGTTTTTAAATTATTATCTCCAGTGGCTTCTGGGGCAGGCGGGGGTGACTGGCAACGGTAGGGTAAACACTAATTGAGTTTAAGACCAAAGTCCAAATCTGAACACAGACTTTGACAAGCAGGCAGTTTAGTTTCTCTGCATTTCTACGCACTGGCAAAAACTGTGAAGAGTCAATATTCTCAATCCATCACTCATAATCTTATGTTTTAAGACATCCCTACATCCAATAAATCACCTCATGTCGCTAATTAGCCTATAATTGCCATCTCACACTGGCAACAGCCTGAATGGATCAACTGAATTGTTATTCCATTGATCCAATCAGGATTAAAGTTTTAAAATAGTAAAAGAGAACCAAACAAATGTTATGGTTTCAGTGCTTCAGATGATATTTGCCCACCTACATTCACTAACAGTGAACTGTCAGTGCTGTATGTAAAAAAGGATCATTTGTTTTCTCCTGCTTGCTTCTCCAAAAACAGCAGCAGAAAGCCTCCTTAACCAGCGTACCTCTCCATAGATCCTGAACGTGCAGCTTTCCTCCTCCAGCTCGATCGCTGTAACACCAGGCACCTTCCTCGCTTGCTGGATGTTGGCACCGTGGGAGCCGATGGCGAGGCCCATCAGGTCCTCCCTGACCCTCACCTCCTCTTGGTACGCCGATGCTAACTGCTTACTTGTCTAGGAAAGGGGAAACGCAAGGTTGCTTGCCAAGATGCATGGCTAGGATTTAAATGATCAGGGAGACACATGTAGTTGACAGAATGTATTACCTCCAAATGTTTGGTGGCTTCTTCATTGCGGGACATTAGCATAAGCTTGGTACGGATGCTCCGGAAATGCATGTCGCTCAGAAGAGCTGCACGCTTTACTGTGGTTTCATTTGTGGACTGAAGACACAACATAAGACACACAAGGCAACAAAGGTTCAGAATCAGGTAAACTAATACAACAAAAGCCATAACCGACTCGTAAAGACGATCCAGACAGAACAGACATTCAATGCCCAGAGCAAGAAATGCTTTGAAAAACATGTTCCTAAACCACAACAGACAGTCATCCGGGATGTGTAGGGCATGAACCCCTTATTAGAGAGCCCTGAACTGAAATTTGGGTTAATTCTACAGCGGTAAAAGATGGTGGTAGAAGTCAAACTTTAAGGAGAGGGAAATTAAAAAAAGGTTTTTAAAAGTTTATTTTGGGCCAAAGGCTTCACATTTTTAAGTGGCTTTTATCAGAGTTCTCTAGCAGGCCCATAGATGTTTTTTTAATTGAGATAATGCTTTAAAATAACTGCCCAAATAAAGCATTGCAGAACGGCTGCTGTGTGGCCAGACTTTTTTCTGGTAAAGTTATTCAGCTCTAGCAAATTTATAAGACTTAAGGTCTTCGCAATTTACGATTCACACTTCTCTTTATTGACCACAATCCAAAGCACTGCTAAAATGCTCTTTCTGGAGCTGAAATGTAAACTCTTTGCCATCACTATGACACAGTTGTAGTTGAATTATTCCATGATTCAAATATCCCTATGCTGGGCCCAAACATCCAGGAGTTTGGATTTTAAGATGTTTTTAAAAGTTAGTCATCTAGTGAGCTCGACTTAAAACTGTTTACTTTCAGGGGATCGCTTATATTTCTTAAATACAGAAGCATTAGCAGAAGTATACAGTCCTATAGCCTTTACAAACATTTGTGAATGAATGTCTACACACTCAGTCACAAAGTAGCAGTGTGTGTATACGGTACAGTACTTTTGTGCATATAATGTTAGCAGCATTATCTGGATTCACATCTCTTCGTCTGTCTGCCTTCCCTGATGTTCACATTTGCGAGTGAGATTTTTTGCTGCTGCTTTGCATCATTCCTTCACGTGATGACATAAAACAAGGCCATTAACTTGATCAGGAGGCGTCTGCTGAAGTGTGTGTTCAGAGTACTAACCAGCACGATGAGCTCATGTGTTTGGGCACTGTAGAAGATGCAGTTGGCTCCGATTGCTTTCCTGAAGTCTTTGTGAATGTTGTCGTTTGCACAGCTGTCGATAAAACAATCCAGAGCAGGGTCGATCTCGTTATTCGTTTGGCAGCACCGAATCATCATTACACGCATGATTGCTGACAACATATGAGAACTCTAAGGGAGCAAAGTGCTTGGATGTGTAGAGGCATGAGTGAGGGGTTGTTTATATGCAGGACTCACATGTCCTCAGGTCTTCTGGGACGGGGATGGGGATCTTGTGGAAGGTGTTTCGAGAGGCAGGGCTGTTGGGGTTTAGAGGCCTGATGCGCTCTGACGTGACTATCTCGTTGTACGTGGCGTCGCACGCCGCATATTCGATCACATAGAACTGAAAACAACACGGGAGATACAGATTTTTAATAAAGTAGACAAAAACACAGATATATAAAGCTCCGATGGAGTCAAAGATGTCTCGAGATGCACCTCTGCGTCTTGCTGCTAATAAAACTACACTCTGTTGCTACTTTCTTCTATTTCATATACATAAAATCAAGTGAAAGAAGATGCATGAGAGTAAAGATACAGAAAAACACGACAAGTAGTGCAGAAAAAGTGCAGCAGCAAGACCAACACTGCACACTCCACGCTCAAAGGACTGAATTAAAGCCATCAGTCAATGCTAGACATTCGTGCAGGCTCTTATCAGACTGCTCCAAATAACAGCACTACAGCAGCAGCACCCTTGGCACATTAGCCCTGCATAGCTGTCCTTTCCATATCCCACTGACCCACTATTCAACCTGCAGCTGGTGCCTGAGAGTCAGAGCTCCTTGTAATTATCTGAAAAATTTTAAAAAGACTGGTCCCGTGCAAATCCACTTTGACACAATAGGTCAGGGTGCAGAAGACACACCGAGTGAACAGGACAGGTAATTTGAATGTACAATGTCAGAGTCGATTAGGACAAACTCTTTGGGCCCATTACCCAGCAGCACTTCTTACTACTGGCCTATATTTATTTTACACACAGCATACTGCAGTACTCAGAGCTCCATAAAGACTTACTGGCAGTACAGCCAGAGGCAAAGTGAAAGACGACTGCTTACTGATTAATAAACAGAGAGGAAGCTGACCTAGGTGGATTCTATCACCGCTGCGTGATATCGTCTTCTCAATTATGATAGTTCCTTTCAGCTGAACAGCTCAGTGAAAGCCTCAGGAACTTAGAAACAGGAAGTAACTATTGAGTTTTCAACATATCCACAAAACAAAGATTAGGCTGGATTAAAAGAACAACTGTGTATTAAAATGTACTGAAGTGTTGTCTAATGATGGGCAGACGTTCAAACAGGGCTTGAAACGCAAAGGTAGAGGATGTTATACATACTAGTCACTCTTGCTTTATTATATAAGAGCAGGAAATATAATTTCAGTTTGTGTGTTTACCCACTTATCTCACTTGTTCAAAGATTTACTCTCAGCAAACACTTACTTCTCCCTTCATCATTCTGACCCGCGCCAGCCACCAGCCGCATGGCTCCTGTTCGTTGGCCCTGGAGTAAACCTGGAGAGACAGCGAATAAAAGCTGAACCACAGACAAAAGACAGAAACACGCTCATCCACTTAAAAAAAAAAAAAAAAAAAAACTAAAAATCAAATAAATAAATAAAAAGCATCACCTTGAAAAGAGAGAATGAAGCTGTTTGACTTTGAATGGGACTAATTTAACCCAAGACACCTCAGGTATTAGTTTAGTGGTTAGTAAAAACTTAACGAAACACTTGTATGAACAGCTCCCACTAATATTATGTGGATTCCACATCTATAACTCCCATAGTCCCAACTTTAAAAGATTTTTGGCACACCTTAAAAAACCGTTGCAACGAGACATTTCTGGTACTTTTTATCTAGAGCCACGTGTCCTTAAACTTGCATTTCCATGAAAACAAAAACAAAACTCTTAATGCTAAATAGATGCAGATGAGAGGTCTCCACGACTGGGACGTGTTTCAGTTATGGAGACATCTCAAAACAATCGAATGCAACACTTAAATGATCTGCGGGGTCCTCAGATCTCAGTCAGGATTGTTAAACTCACATTAGTGACAAAAATTCTAATTTAACTATGTCACTCTGTAAAAAGCGTGTGGGCTGGATCTATGCTATCGTTTTAGAAATGCTTTTTAAGTCCTTCGTAAAAGACTGCAGACCAAACCATGTTTATAAAAGCCTGAACACAACACATTTAAACAGTTACTTGATGGATAAGCACATATTCAACAGTCCAATAAACTCTGCCACACAGTATTTGATGCTTTTTATACAACTTCCTGTTTGTTACTGTTAAATGATTCCAGCTAGCGGATTAACTTTGGAAGGAACTGCTTCTTTCATTGGCTGTTAGAGAAACGGTCAAAAACACGTTTATTGGGTCTGAATACAACATCACCCACAGCAATAGAAACACATATGCACACATTTTATATACAATGTGTTTTAGATGTGACCTGTAACGTATTTAATCATTATATCAAGATCCATGATTCAAACTTCAGGCTTTTTAAATGAGCCTCAGGAACTCAGGTCATGTCTGAAATCACTGGGTGTATAGCAGACTATGTGATAATATACATCACATAACATAAACTGTAAGTACTTCCAATTAATAATGTGGAAAAAAGTATATGTGATCTAAAATGTGTACCTATCAAAGACTTCAGAATTTTCCAGGATTTTTGAAACGACAGGTGAAAAGTATCGGCGAATAATTATCTGACTGTCGGAGTGAAAAACAAGGCCTTGAGACATAATGTCGGAAAATTTATGTGTATGAGCTGAGTCAGACATATGCAAAGAGCCAGGCCTCACCTCCACTTCCTCTCCTTCACCAATTTCCTTGTGATAGTCGGCTGGAGGAGGCAACCGCACGTCACTGAAGGGCAACTGTCTCTCTGGCTGCCAGCTGTGGAGGAGACAAAACACTTGTCAACCTACCGACAATCACAGGTAAATGAAACGCTGTTGGCTGAAGCTCTTCTAAGTCACGTCACACTCGGATTGTAATGGTATGGGTACGTATTACCCACTCACTGCTGTGTAGCACATTTACAGACATAATAACAATAACAGTTTTAAAGGTTCATTAGGTTTAATGAGGAAGCCCAGGGACCCTGGCTGGTCAGTAAGTGGAAAAGTTGTCATTTTACACTCAACAAGAATTTAAAAATGACTCAGAAGCAGAAAAGTGAAAGACTTGCAAAACCTAAAGCTTGAGATTAATATACAGTATATAGCAGCTCATTCAGTTTGATCTCTCAACTAAGTTTTTATAGGACTTTTCTTTTGAGAGCTTCCATCCTCCTTTGTGTTTTGTTTTGGTTTTTGTGGGTGGAGCTTTATTATGTGGTGTGGGTGGAGCTTTTATTATAGAAAGTAGCAACAATGCTTTAACATCGATAACAAAACAAACCAAAGGCATACAAATATCCTGATGTTTAAATTTTTATCCTCTACAGTCACCCCAGGACAAAGAGTATCAAGACTTGTTGTTCGTGTTTGTGTAATAGAACAACATAAGCACAAAATCCAGCTGTACTATACTTGAGCTACAACAAACCAACCAAACCACACTCACCAGCCACTCTCTTTGATACACCGTGCCAATATTGGGTTAGACTCCCTGACACAAGGCAGGATGGGATCCATTCTTTTGTTTATGCCCTACCAAATCCAAGACTCCTCAGTCTTGGACTCCTCCGCAGTGATTTTCCAATTTTCTCTAATCTGCCATCGGTCAGCCTGTGCTAACTGCAGCCTCAGTTTCCTGTTCTTAGCTGGCAGGAGATGCACCTGGTGTGGTCTTCTGCTGCTGTAGCCTGTGTGCTTCAAGGTTCATCAGGTTATGCATACCTTGCTTGAACAAGCAGTTATTACTAGTTACTGTTGCCATTCTATTGTTGTGTAACACTCTGGCCATCGTCTTCTGATTTCAACAAAGCATTTTCACCCAAAGGCCTCTTGCACCGGGACGAGCAGGGCGAATGGCCGGATTTGAGTCTGACCCGTGGCCCTTTGCCACATGTCTTCCCCTTTCTCCTCCCCCTCCCTCCCTCCCTCCGCTTTCCTGTCACTCTTCACTGCGTTGTGCAGTAAGGCTGAAAAAGGCCACACACAAAAAAAACAAAACAAAACAAAAACCTCTTGCATTGGGTCACTGAATATTTACTTTTTCTGACCAGTCTCTGTAAAGCCTAGAGATGGCTGTGCTAAGGGAAAGTAAAAGGAGAAGGAAGGATGGATCCCAAAATGACACAGGCCACCCTGTTGCCACCCCTCCCGAAGCGCATACCATGGGTCACTATTTTTAGGAGCTCCCTGATCTACACGCTGAGCCAAGTAGATAAAGAGGGACGAGTTGGGTGGTGGAGGGGTGGTAGAAGGGGACAGTAGGTGGGGCTTGGAATATAGGAAAGCATGCCACCAGGGTGGTGGTGCGAGAGGTGGGGGTTAGAGCAGGAGGTGAAAAAACTGTTAGAGACATGTATGGACAGCTGCATGCCAAACACAGGTGCTGAACAGGACAATTTTTGATGCCTTGCAACATCCTAAACCAGGCATACTGCAGCTAAGGCTAAACAGGAGAGGTGCACAGGAAGAGCATACTTACTTGTTTTCAAACACAATTGTGAGCGAGTCTTCGTGGACATCTTTGATATAACCCTAAAAGACAAAAGAGAGAATTTTTATTCCCATGAATGCACAACAGAAAGACAGATGGGTGGGGCTGTGAGCATTTGATTTTTTTTTTTGTGTACATGTAAACAACACAGGCGGCTGTGAGCAATGTTAGACTGATACTGTGACTGGAAATACAAAAGGGAAAAAAAAAAAGCGCATCTTGGGCTTTTTTAGAAGCCAAGACATCACATCGCTGACACAATTCTCTGGCTGTGAATTCTGTGTTGGATAAAGTGACGAGGAACACTGACTCCTCCTGACAGCACAGACAGCCGGGAAATCTCTCACACACACGCTCACTCCCTCTCTCTCACACATACACACACACACACACGCGCAAACAACAACAGAATTAAAATCCAGAAGCGAGCCCTCTTCACTGTGTGTTTGTGTGGGAGATTTAAAGACAACAATTTTACACAGGACTGTTCAAATGAGTGCGTGTACAGGCATCCGGGCCAGCCTATAGGGGACAATCATTTGCCTGCCCATTACGAGAGATCACTTTAACCTACTACTCGTCCATCATGGCTGTCCACAGATCTGTCTCAGCATGCCATAAATTTTAAGCAACCTACTCCCCATTTGTGGTGTGGGTGTGTCACGTCTCTCGGTGTGACACGACCATATATGGGACAGAGGGGTTGTACAAGTATTCTTGATGGTTTGTACTGTAGGGGGTGGGGATTCACCTGCTGGAAAGATGCTAATGTTGACCTGAACCTGGATAAAATAAATGTTTAGACACGAGGGAGATCCTGATGCTCCAAAATACCTAGGTATAAATTTATACCGCAGTATTTTGTTTCTCATTGATTATGAATTAAAAACAAAAATACCTATAAAAAAAACCTAATTTAAGTATAAATTACAAGATTCATTTTTATTTCAAAGTTTGCCTTCGATCCTTTCTGTTTCAACTTTCCCTACAGCTAGATGGTCAGGTCACTGTTGCAGCAGTTTGATGTCATCCGGCTACAGGACAAAATCCAAGCCTGCTGACTTAGACTGCAGCAAACGGTGACATAGTTCTGGTTCTGGTGTTGGAGGGGCATCTTTCACCAGTACCTGCTACACTGTAGCTCATCAAGGCTGCAGAGCAGAAATTAAGTCTGTACCTTCAATCCAAGACGACACAGCTGTGGTCTAGCCGCAAGATAAGACAATTACTGGAGATGCAACTGATTTGTGCTCCATTATTTACTGTCACAAAGTATGTATAGCATTAATTATTAAATAATTTAACAAAGTGTGGGTGTGCGCCCTGGGTACGGAAATGCTGAGAACACATAAGCTCCACACGGGAATCATGATACAGGAAGACAGAAACATGATACCACATTAAAAGTTTTCTAAAGCCACTTTGGTTTTGGTTGCATAGATGTCACACCATTTTTATTTTTTTGCAGTCTACTCTCAGATATTAATGCTAACCACCACTGCCTCAGTTTTGAGAAGGTCCTGGTTAGCATTCACACCATCCATCCCTCTATACTATACGTCATCGCAGGGTTCCAGCTTCAGAGCAGATTGGCCTTTATCACAGAAGTCAGCAATGCCAACCGATCGGAGTTACAAAGTAATCACCCTTCAGTTTCCACAGATCACATGTGGTGAGACAGCTGTGTGCATGCCCTGTCAAGTTAACTGCCCCTTACACAAGGCACTGCTAGGTTGTACTACAGTTGCCCGTGTCCACACTTCAGCCTTAGGCCAGCACACACATGTGGTCACTAAGATCATTTGGAGAAAAGATGCCAGGTCTGCAATATTCCTCTCACAGATTTTTCAATATAACCAGCCACTGATCAGACTGGGCTTATAATAAAATATAAATAGATGAAAAGAAGGCAGTTTAATGCACAAGCTTCAGTGACATAGAGAAAAAAGGGAATGTCACAATGTTTAAAAATTAGTCTTCTCAGTTTTCCCATTGTGTTTTCTGCTGCAAAAGAAACCATATAGAGTGCCACTTTCCTGACACTTTAATAAACACGATGCCCATTCATAGCTCAACAGAAAACAAAGTGGTAACGGGGTGAATGGTGGTGGAATTGAATAAAATCCTTTTATACCCATGTGCCAATCACGACAGGAAAGGAGGAAAGTAGCAAAGCTTTCACCCCACTCACCTCCATCAAGGGCAAAAATATACACTAAAGAGAATCGCAGCTATGTGTCAATGACATCGGCCGAAAGAGCTGTGAAATAATGGACACAGCAGAGTTTCGTGGAAAGTGTTTGACGCCAGAGCCAAACTGTCACCCCGTAAACCAGAACAACAGGTGAGGCAGCATGAGGAGGGTAAATATAGGGTCATCACTAACCCACCATGTGCTCCACCGGCCAGCTGAAAGGTTGAGGAAAAAAAAAGACTGAAGACGCAGGCAAAGAAATGGGCTATCTAAAAAGCTGAATCAAAGATGTTCTCTAAAACTAGACAGAGTTGGTGAGGGTGAGTAGGGTTTATTTCCCTATCCCCCAAAACGGTTTAGTGTCTCCTCAGTCTGAAGCTGCCCCTTAAACCTTACAATCTCTCGCAGAACCAAACCTGTGAGCCTGACCACTTAAGACATCTGAGAAAAAAAACAAACCAAACATGCTTGATAGTATAGTTTGGCTGCCATCTTAATGTTACGTCGTAAACAAGCTGTGACACAGCAACAACAAAGACCTGAAGTCACGTGTCTGCATGTGAAAGTGATCTTTCTGTTTAAAATCAGGCAGAATTGAAACCAAAAGCGTCAGTCAGGGCAATAAACATGAGACACGCGGTACAGCGCTGTAGCTGAAACCTGGGCTGGGCTACAAAGCAATTATGAAGAATGTGAGCTTTGATGTAGCATCACATCACACTTGCACGTAGGAGCTGCACAACAGCTGTCTGATCAGCAGCTCGCTGCCCTTTTTAAATGTTTCCATCCAGGGTTTCATTAGCGGACCTGCCGTGTGTCGCTTCAAAACTGTTTACAGCGTGTTTTCACGCTGACATGTGATAAAAGAAAATGAACACACATAGGCCATGCATGGTGATGTCAAGTGTGCCTAGCCTAACTGCTAGCTACGGCTAGCTGCCTACACCACAATGGCCAGCCCTAATTGAACGCAAAACCATCCCTGTTCGTCAGGAGTGGACCCACGCTAGCATTAGCAGAGTACCAGTTAGCGAGAGCTGAGCTCAGAAGAGCGAAACCTAACGTTTTGAGAAGGAAACAAAACTTTAACTGGGACAGCTAGAAACTACGTTTGTAACCTGGTTACCTTGTAGAAGGCCCCGTTCGAGCCGCGAACTTCCACGGCCAGCCCGTCCATACTTGTCGGTAGATCCCCACGGCTGTGCTTGTCTGTAGCCGCTGTGACTCCCTGCGAGTCCGGTAGCGTTACCACCCCCAGCTTCGCCGGCCCCTCGCCGCTACCCGGCCGCTTGTGGATTTCCAGTGTTTCGGGTGGAGGAAGAGGGGCAGAGGTGATGGGGTTGGGTGTGATGGTGTCAACTAATGCAACGCAGACGCCGTCTCCAGCACCAGTGAGGAGGAACCGCTCTCTGTTTTTGTCTCAGTGTCGGATTTGATTGCCGCGACCTAAAAGGGACCGCCACGAGCGATGGCGAGGTCTCGACGTGCGCGAGGAGAAACGAGCTAATGATGCTACCGCTGAGGATGCTAGCTGATGGGCAATTAGCTGGGAGGCTAGCTATCAACACCTTGATCCCGTCTGTTTTCAGGGATGCTAGTAGGCTAACATTTGATAGCCCGGCTGCGTTTGCCTGGCTGTGCGTGTGGCGCAGTCGCTGCGTTGAAAAGATTCTTTTCACAGAAGTCGTCACCGGGGGTCGCTTCTTCGGTCTATGGTGTAATTTTTCAGCGGCGTTTCTTTCCCAAAAAAAAGCATTCGTGATGCACTAGCGCCCGGCGATTCCTTACTCCAACTACCCGTTCCCTCAACACACACACACGCCGATAGAGTGAATCAGAGAGGGACTGAATGACCTCGAACACCCCACCCCTCTACACGGAGACCCACCTACCGGGAAGTCCAACGTTATAATTGGCCGAAGTAGCTGTCGGTTAGCTTTAGCTTTCATTAATTGGTCAAGCGAATAAGGGCTGGTCTATAAGCGCAACAAATCACACCCATAGAGTCGCATCCCAGCACAATCCATTGGTTTTATCCCTTGTCAGTTACAATTTTACTCGAATTGACTGGCTCCCATGTCTAAATTTGCCCACTCATTGATGAGTGAGGACCACTAGTTATTGTGTAAACAGCAGTAGAGTGAAGTTACTATTTGTGGACCATTCAAAGTTACATTACTCTGTTGAAACAGCCACATTGAGACTGGAAACGCAAACCTTTCCGTCCAGTGGAGATCCACAAAGTTTAAAGCTGGCTAACGCTTACTGGGAGAGAAGTACACGCAGTGTTGGCAAATCTTAGGTAAGAAATCCTTCACTGAGAAGACCAGATATGGACAGGGACTGTTGCGAGGAAACAGCTGCGAGAAGCAAACATGAGAAGTCAGAGTTCATGTGGAAAAGACACTCTACAAGAATACCAGTATTGTGCAGCCCCATATGTACATATAATATGTATGGAAGAGGAACTGATAAATACAGGGGCTGATGTAGCCTGTAAAGACTTGACAGGCCCAATAAAAGAATAAATAAATAATCTACTTTAACAATGATGAACATACTGGGTTTTATTGCCTGTAAATAAACAGGGCAGTGTGCGCCATAGTCCTGCCAATCACCCCCTGCTAGTAATGTTCTGCTTGACATGTAGAAGGATATTTCCACGTCTTTGAATCCATTTTCTTTGCTGTATAATCAAAAACAGAAAAAGCAAGCAGGAGAAATCCCACAGCCAAAAATCCCCCAAATTTAGTGGAATGTAAAAACTTGATTGTCATTTATTAAAGCACAACGAGACATCTGCTTCTAATATCATATCTCCTTGGAGGTTCAAAGCGATGTTAGTTCCGCTGCCAGCAACCGCCGTGGTGCGAGGTGATCATACAAGCCCAGGGCACGAAAACAAAATCATCTTAAGGACGAGGAGACTGACAGTCAGCATGAAAACACGAGAGCCCCATCTCTGTCCAATGAACACCCTCTCCACCTAACTTGCAGCACATAGTTGATCATATATAATTTGACCATATACACATAATTTGAGTCATTTATTGATTTTACTCCCCAACATCGAGCTATAAGAGTCAAAGCACATTTTGATTATTCGTCAATTTTATTAACTGCTTGTTCAAGGAAAGCCCAGAGACACAGCAGTGCATGCCTTATCCTCTGTCATGTGGTTGTGAAATACCTGTTTGTAGATGGATAAGATGCCAATTATAAGGAACACAGGGAAAGAGAACCCAGAGGAGACAAAGCAAAAGTCCAACATCTTTAATCGGAGGTTATGCAGATAGTGAAGCAAACAAACCAAGTGAGCAGTAAGCAAAAAGTGAAGATTAAAAATTAATTTAAAAAAAACAAATGAACAAGAAATGAACTAAAAATGTGATACAATTAAAAGTACAACAGGAAAATTGAAAATAAAAAGAATATCGAGGAGCAAAAGACACAAAAGAAAGAGAATATTCTGATAGTGTCATAATGGCCAAATGCGTTCTTTAGCTTCTAGTTGTTGTTACTGTAATTGTTGTTTAACAACAACAAACATTCAGTTTTATCTTAAGCCATGTCACTTTATTAATATTAATGTCAAAGGACGTTTAGTTGTTAGTGGGAAAAGATTAAAATCTCGATATTTTCCGCTTCAACACCTCACGCTCTCGTGAATAGCACGTTGCCGTCACCCAGGGACCGCTGTATGACCACGTGGTCCAGTTAGCCAATAAGAAGGCTTCCGGCAAACGCGCGCAACTTGATTCAGGAAGTACGTGTTTAAGATTTCAGCTCGTCTTCGTGTTTGAAAGAAATAGTTCACAAATCCACAAACCTCCTGTATGTTTGGATACTAAGGACAATAATTAATTGGAAAATGTCCGGTAGTACCGAGACAGCAAACATATCGTCGCTTGGGAAGGGTGACACTTTGCATCAACAGGGTAAGAAGACAAGTGGGCTGCATATCTACTAGTAACCCTATATTGTAGCAATAACAGAAAGTAGATGTAATAAATTAACGTAGTTTAAAGTATTATCTATTAATGTATAAATAACGATGTTATTGTTAAATACGAAAGTAGGCTCTTTTAGCTTTATTTTCTTGCCAAATTTACTATTGTCCGTTTAGTTTGGCCGTCCTTAATTACTTCTCTGCATTTTGTGCCTTTCCCCTCAGTCCTCGCCTCCTTTCCACTGTGTCACATGACTGAAGAAGATCTGATCCAGAACCCGCAGTTTTGTAAACTCCTGGCCACTCTGGCACAGCATGTGGATCAAACCGGACTCACCGCTCCGCTGAAAACAGAGCTGGACAAGGTGTCTGTCGTTCCTGTTCCTATTTGTTCCTATTTGTTTTTATCAACACAGAAGTTAATCAGTGTAGAGTTTTAAAAAATAATTCAAACTGGGTCATGGAACAGTTTTTCTTGTATTTTTTTTGTCTTGTACTATTCAGAAATGAGGAGTCATAATTTGTCACACCTCTATGGAAATGAGATTTTAGTCCACTCATTATGATTCAATAAATAGTCTGTGACTTACTGACCTCTACTGGCGAGAACTAAGAATTGCAACAACATGGATCGACCCTTTCTCTGCTCAAGAGAACAGTCTTTTTTTTTTAAAAAACTGAAAAATACTGGAATAAAAGAAGCTGTTTGTTTATTTATAGTTTTAAGAGAGCTAACTTAACCTCTGTGTCGTTTACCAGAGAAACAGATTATGTTCGAATAACCTGCTCACTGGCAAATTTTCTCCTGCAAAACCTGAAAAAGCTGTGTGGATAGCCAGACATGTAGTGAGCGCTACATGGACTAAACAGCTGGACTAAATGTATCTTACAATGGGTTTTGTGAATACAGGCTTCAGGCAGTCTGAATATGTTGTAACAATATTTCATTTCAAAAGCTTTATTTGCATTGGATTGGTCATCAGAAGCCACAGAGTCAGATTTTTACATGTAAAGTGGAAGTTTCAGGTTGGACTACAATGTTAAAATCACAGAAGTCTTTTATGTTTGGTCCATATTTGTATTACATTTTATTTTCATCTCCTATAACCTCGTCAGGTAACAGGTGAACGATTGCATTTAAAAATGAAACTGAATTCAAATAGAGACCCTGATCTTTATTGACGGGGTTACCATTAATGCTTTGGTTTATTTTTCCAGCACCCATAAAGGTGCTTAATTCAAGATGGAGCGACTCATCGTTACCTAAGCCTGATCAGCTGTTCTCGACTCCAAATCTCAAAGGTTCCTGTCTCAGTGTTTAGGGTCTGGCTCCAAGTTTGTTAAGCCTTCTTTCTAGAACTGGGACAGGATCTGACCGATTTTGTGAGGTACTGTGTGAGTCCTTACATGTGTGAGTGTTTTGGGTTTTTTTTCCCAGGCTGAAAAGAAGCTGCAGATTCAGAAACTTCAATGGCTGCGCTCCGAGAGCCTGCACAGAGGGCTGCAGGAGATGATCCAGAACCACTGTGTCAGGAAGCACCATGCCACTGTACCCCCTGACCAGAACATGGTACATTTCACTTCTTTACACAGTTTAAAAGTGCATAAAGAGCTATCAGTGAGCTATGGACAGGCTAACAAGCATTCATTGTATGTTCTTTGTCAAATTTTGAGCAGATTTTCATCTCGCTGTACGGCTAAAACGACTTTATTGAATGTTTTTTATAGATAAACGGTCAGATAAAAGTTTATAGACAAAAGTTTATCACATGGAGTTTTTAATCGATTAGGAGACTCTTACTAATGATGATCTTAAAAAAAAATACATATAATAAAACAAATAATTTGCGTTTGTTCCTTTATAGTTCTATGAGACGATGGAGAGGTGTCTACTGGTGGCTCAGTGTGTCAGGCAGCTGGATCCCAGTAACACAACAAACCAGGACCAGCCGTCGGTCCTGGGCCTGACCCCCCAGCTCGTGATGGAGCTCATGCCTTCCGAGAAGGTGAATCATAAAATTCAGTACATGCAAGTTAAAATCTGTTTGGGATATGCTGGATCTGTTTAGCGTAAACCCATAAAAACATGCACACCACCAGAACCGTTTGGGAAACTTCTTTTAATATTCCTTTTATTTTATTTTATTTTTTTTGATAATGAATTCAAACTACAAATGCTTTCCTCATGCCCACGCTGTATTTTCTTTACTAGAATGTACAAAGTCTGAAACAGGGTCTACCAAGACAGCTGGAGAAACATCTCAAAGAAAAGTGTCTGAGCCTTCTCTCTTACTATCAGCCTGAATGGGGTACAGCAGCTACAAACACTTTCACCACATGGCTTCATACCACGTCATTCTGTTCACTCGACACAACGACTAACCTGCTGTTTTGTGATTTCTTCTAGAGCATGAGAGCGAGGGTCTAAAGATGGCCAAGCTGTCTCATCTGTCAGCACAGCTGGACAAAGAGAAGAAAAGAGCAGAAAGTCTGAAGGAGACGTGCAGAGAAAACACGGTTCTTCTGCAGAGACATACTGAGCTCTACCTCACTGTAAGGGAATGCTTTTAGTGGGGATATCGATCAGCAGTCCAGTCTATTTCATGCAGTTCTGTGTTTACTGTAACGCTATAATTTTACTAATGAATACCAGTATAGTGAATTACTATTCTTCAATTTAATTTTGTTACATTTTATTTCTCACATTAAATTTTTACTACAAAATTAAGAGAAAAAAAAGTAAGTTTTATGCTTTCATCAATCATCCCAGGCTCTTTCTTTGAGTGAGGGATTCAGCTCATTACATTAACACTGACAGTGGATTAGCAGACACCTGAAGCCAAAGTATTGGTATCTTATTAGAAGTGGAAAAAGCTGGATCCATGAATTCCTGCACCTGTGATTTTCTGCACACTGCATCATTCATCAAAATGCTCATTCTGACTTGACTAAGTGGTTATTATCCTGAGACCAACATTTATAAGGTATCCTTGAGGAAAAACTGCATCAGCCCATCATTGTCTGGTTCTGCTTTTTTATTTTGATGAAATTAAAATGTATTACAAAGTTCTGATATGAGCAAGTCACCACACCACATATAATTTTAAACTATTATATAAACAAACTTGAACCGCAGTCAGATTTGATAAAACATGGTTTTAAAATGCTCGGGTCAGAAAGCCAAAAACATGAGGCGCTAGTAGTAATAAGCAAGCTTGCAAGTCACAAAGTCACAGTGCTAACTAGCTTCTTTTTAAAGTGATAGCACTGCAAGCATGAATTGGTCGAGGCACTTGGGGAAGGGGGGGAATAAGGATATGCTTCGAGGAAATGTACTCACCACATTAAGCTGCATGAAATGCGTAAATGTGTTCTGTTTGCTTAGTCACTGTTTGCTCTTTTCATACACAGGAGCTGACAAAGTGCATTCAGCTTTTCCAGTCTTTCATCTTGAACCACAGGCTGAAGATCCAGACAGATCTGGAAAGGAAGAAATTGGATTACTTTGAAGGCAAATGTGAATTAATCTTGCAGAAGATAAAGTAAGCCGTTTTCAGTGCTTCAGTACATCAGACTTGGTTTCTATATAAGGCCATTTGCATTACTCTAACGCTCTCGTAAATCAGATAGTTGGACTGCATTTCGTACTAAGAATGTTTTAATCCAGTGCTGATAGTCCAGTCGTGACTCATAGTCAAAAATGAGATGCATTAACTATACACACATTCCTGTTTCTCATGTTCATTTTTAAAGGGCGGAGATGGTGGAAATCCAGCTGGATACATACACGCCTGACTCGATTTCTGCTCACAGAAAAATAAGGCAAGACTAAAATTCTTCTGTTGAAGCTACATTCTGACTGATCCCTTTGTCCAAACCTAACCAGCTCGTCGGATCTCATTTTCAGGGAGAAGCTGGAGTCTGAGCTGAAGGCGTGTAAAGCGGAAAAGCAGTCTGTCGAGTTAAAGCTGGCCTCCTTCGAGATCTTGGGCAAAGACTTTGAGGCGCTGGCCGAGGAGTACTGCAGATTACGGCAGGAGATGGAGATGAAGAACTGGGCACTGAAAGAATTCACCCAGTATAACGACTAAGTGAAGGGCGTATCTGATGCTGACACATGCCAGCCTTGCCCTCATCCCGCTCTGGAATTCCACAGAATGACATGCTGGCTTTTAATTGTTGGACACTGTGGTGTGACGTGAATCAAATAAAGTTGGCTCTGAACATTGCTCTGTGGTCCCGCCGTGCCTTATTCACGCCACAGACACAAACTGTGGGCCTTTAGCCTGCAGTAACTTTGTAGCATGTCCATATTATTTCAGATAACAGGACTCCTGAAAGTGCCACTGAAGTGGTTCAGGCTTTTTAGTTTAAACCTGCTTTGCATGATTCACAGTTCAAAACAGAAACAGTCTGATTCTTCTTCCCTCTGCCAGAGCTGCAACGTCCTTTGACATCATCTACGAGCTGAGTCCATTGATTCATCTGGCTTAATTATTGATACTTTGCTGAGATCATCATGATGAGGGCATGAATATGAATTTGTGCCAAGAAGATGCAAAATTGCATTTATTTATTTTTAATCACCCTGCAGTCATAAAGAGTCCTTCAAAAAATTCCAGATCCGCATTAAGTTGACTCCAAAACCTTTGCTGGACAAAATGTTTGCATGACCTCCACATGTTTATGAGTAATGCAGAGATTAATAAAGCTATTCATTTGAATAAGATAAGCACTGTTACAGTAAACTTATAATATCTTTCATGTGGCTACATTAACATTTTGGATTGCTTTCTAATATTGACATTATTGTTGTTATTATTAGTGGAAATTCATACATCTTTATGGACACTGAAAAGTGTGCATGTCAGTTGTAGGTGGAAGAGCATGAGTGAAGCATCTATTCAGTGCCTCAGTCCAACGTTGTCTGAAGATAAGTCTTCCTTTAACAGTTTATGTAACTATGTAATATAAATTTTCAATTCATTTATTAAACTTACTAACAGCCTGTGTTCATATTGTTGTTTCTTTGAGCTGACGGCTTCTCTCACTGCAGGTCCTGACAGGCACACAGCATCCTTTCATACAGGCTGGTGCTCATGTGTCAACACTTGATCCTAAATGAAATATAAACTTTGTCAGGACAAGAAAACTGAAGTGCATGCAGTGGGACATTAACATGAGTGTGAGTCAGCTGCTCTCATAAATAGCTTTGTACCTCTTAAACGATGCCTGACAAAGTTACCTTATATTATAATAAAAAGTTAAAAAAGACTGTAACTGAAACAAGCGCCCTCCCTCACTGCTAAACTGAACATTCAAACATAAAACTGAACCGCTGCAGACTACAGGTGGCACTTCGTTTGCTGCAGTTTGTGGAATAGTCCACAGGGTGGCAGTGTACTATTAGCTTTACCTGGAGCCAGCTATCGCACCTGAAGGATGAGATTCGGTAACTGATAAACAACCTGTTTCACATCTTCGGAACAATGTTTTATAATCCAAGACATCAAATGAGCCAAATTCCTGCGTACTAATACTTCAGATGTCACAAGATGCGCTCTAATAAATATATATAAAGGGGACACATACTTAATTTATTCCCGGCATTCTTTAACTCTTATAGAGCAGTTTTGCACAGTTCAAAATAGTCCTTGTTTGTTTTATTCCTGACCTCGTCACAACCCCTTCTTAACTCCCTTCCTCCTCCATTTAAACCAAATTTCTTCCCATTGGCTGCCCCTCTGAAACAAAAGGTTTGATCAACAGATAGATAGATAGATAGATAGATAGATAGATAGATAGATAGATAGATAGATAGATAGATAGATAGATAGATAGATAGATAGATAGATAGATAGATGACACACTGACAGTATGTTGGATATACAATAAAAACTAAAGATTAAACATCACAAAGTTCAAATTTTCAAATTTTCAAAGAAACAAACAGACAATTTGCTGTGGCGCTGTACCCTTGTTAAGTGGGTGGATGTGACCAGAAACATAACGTATACAGACATCAAACCATGGGCGTAACAACTCTGTGATGGGCCAGGGGAGGATATTTTTCTGGGCCCTTGCCCCCACGTTATACCACATTCTGTGTGTGTGTGTTTATATTTGGATGAAGGTGAAATGGTTATGTTTCAGTCTTCTATAATCATCTCTCAGAATTTCATCTGTTCAGCTTTGCACTCAGTACAGCCCTTGATAACACCACTAAAGTCTAAAGTCATCCTGATCTCTTCTCTCCTTCCTTCCTTTTCTGAGCACCGCTTTTTTTGTTCTTTTTGTGTGTCTTGATAAACATCATTAACAAAAACAAACTCCTCTATAAGATTCAAAAGAAAATTGTTGCACAGATAGCTGGTAGAGCTGACTTATGAGACGAATAATTATCAATTTGAAAATTCAGAATACGTTTTAATGACCAATAAATCACTGCGATTTCTAATTTCCACAATAAATAGTTAAAACAACAAAACACAGCTTTAAGCTTCTCATATATTTTGAAACTGATTTTGTTTTGTTTTTTGTTTTTGGAAGTCTTGATTGTTAATGTGCCTTTCTGTACATCACTTATTAAATTTCGTTTTTGTGATATTTTATTTATGGACTTCTACTTCTTTTTGTCGCTTATCCTAGTAATGTAAATTTCAGGCTTTTTTTTTTTCAAGAATAAGTAATACCTAAAAAGCCCACCTGTGACGCTAAAAAAAATGTAATAAACTCTCCAAATGCGACCTGTGTTTGCAGTCCTTGTATGTGGACCGTGTTATCATCTCACACTGACGATCTTTGAATCTGCTCTCCGCCGGGGCGGGAGAAACGGAAGTGGGTCCGAGTGAAGCATCTCACGCTGTCAGCCCCTCTTTGGTCTCCTTCCAACATCATCAGCAGCAGCGGTGGCAGCACCACCAGCAGCAACGGCCCCGCCTCGCGACGTGAACCGCTGGCTGGTTCACCTCCAGCACCGTCTCACATCTGGCTGTCAGGAAACAGCGCTGCCCGCCGCTCCGTCCGGTACCGCGGCATGCTCATATCCGAAGAAGAAGAGGAAGAGGATTTTTATTTATCTAAAAGGGGAGCGAAATGTCTGAGGTGCGAAAATTCACAAAGAGGCTGAGCAAACCCGGGACGGCCGCGGAAGTCAGACAGAGCGTGTCGGAGGCTGTGAGGACCACCGTGGACCTTGTGGTGAGCGGAGCTTTTTAAAGGCTGGCTGTGAACCGGTCATTTTAGCCACCAGGGATAATGTAACTCATAGCCGACCCCCTCCACCCCCCTCCACTCTGCCCTCCTCGGGGAGGATAAGCCTATACGGACTAGTCCTCCTTTCTAGGTGGCTGCTCTTCTTCCTGGACTTTTATGTCTGTTTTGTGAGTTTTCGCGCTCCGTCCGTGTCCTCATTATTACATCTTTCTGTAAAGCCCTGGTATGTCTGCATAACTGCCACTGCTGCAACCTGTGCAAAGGCTTATAAACCAGGGTCACTGTGGGAGCAGGTATGTGCTTTAAATCCACTCCACGTGGTGGCTTGGTTTTTCTAAACGGCCTTTATTTGAAATAAATAAATAAAATGACAGCGTCCTCTAGCACACACGCTTTCTCAGCTCTGTGCGGCTCCTTTTGTGTGCTGGCGGATGAAGAGCAGTGCCAGTTGGACAGCTGCAGCAGCATGGCTTCCCTGTCCTTGCCTTGGAGCAGTGTGTGTGTGTCTGGCTGTGAGTGCTCGCCTCTCTGTTTCTGCTGGAAATTGCTCACATTGTGCATAGAGAAGCCTGTCTCCGTAATTGCTTTTTATCACATTTGTCTCGATGGTTGTGCAAAGCAGAAGGTGTTCTTTGAATGAATGTCGATGCTGGTGGCTGTCATTGGGATTAGGCGCAGTGGCTTGAAATGAACAGCGTTTAGTATCCTGCTGATGCAGCATTTGTGTGTCAGGGGAAGGATTTTCATAACAGTAAATCGAAGGCGTGACATTTGTCTTGAAGTTAAACCACAGTGATGTCAGCGCAGCATTAACACTTGCCTAATAATGACTTGTTTTCTTTTTCTTTTAACAAAATGCATCTGCCAACTCATCCGCTTTGTGTTTGTGTGACTGCGGCTTCTTGCATCTTTTTCCTTTAAGTTCTAGGTTAGTTTGGATAAGAGATAAACTCTTGTTCCCCTTGAGATCAGTCTCATGATGCTCATCTTGAGTTGTGTGATGTAAGGCGTTTCCAAGTTTAAAAACCCTGTGATAAGGCACTGATTGTTTTTCTTTTTACAGAGGTGAGAGTGTTGTGTGGCTGTGTGTATGTCTACTGTTTCCTGTTTTAAGGTTGGGCTGCAGCTGAGAACAAATGCTGTTTTGTGGAGGGTGCATGGCCTGTGCTAATTTCACATGGGGATTCCCTTGGGCATGCTGTGACCAATGCATCCTCTGTGACTGTGTCTGCGGATTCATTCTTAGCTTAGTCTCAGGAGAGTTGGTCTTATAGGAAGAGGACTCTACTCCTGGGCCCCAACAGGAAAAAAAATAACTATCTTATCAGTTTCTAAGGAGAATGTTGAATAAAACTTAAAGTTGGGCTATGATACTCATTACAGGCTCCATATTTTTATTCTTGCTAGATTAGATTTCTGTAATTCATTTCAAGTAATCAGTATTTCTGCTGGGCCTTGGGGAAGCCCCTCACTATCTGAAGCAAGTTGTTTTGATCTCTTCTCTAGAGTGCATAAGGCAAAAACAGTTTGTTCCTAAAGTAGTAGTAAATTCTTTAAGTAGGAATAATTCTCCAACCGTCTTGAAGAACATTCGGAGCTCTGCTGTGGTTATCGGTCGCTGTCGAAGTGTCGAAACACTGCATCAGTCATGTTGAGGTCTGGGTATTGGTACATCCATGACTTCTAGAGTTATTTTGTGAGATGGTATTGCATGGTGGATTAAAATCTAATAGTTCTTTTCTGCCTTCATAAATTCATCAATTTCGACGAGATCCCAAACACCAGTGAGTGAAATGCAGTCCCAAACCCTCATAAGAGCCTCTGCTAAGTTTTACACATGGCTGTAAAAACTCACTATTGGACTTTTCTCTTGAAGCCGTCTGACTTTTTCTCATCTCTTTAGAAGATCTGTTTTCACAGCTTGTTTGATTTTGAGCCTTGTGTAATTTGACGTACTCCAGCCTTTTCTCCCCATTTCCCTTCTCTAAGAGTGGCTTCATGACAGTCCCTCTTC